AATGTATGAAAGCTCCGGTAAAGATGACATATGCACTTACCCACACGCATCTTTCGGGCTTTCTAGGTGTAATTTAAGTTGAAAACGCTTTTCTTGCCACAGTACGGTTAACAAGGCATATTCATAAGAGATCCTGCTTAAGTACTCTCATTAGAATTGATTTATTTTATTTTCAATCGCAAATGAAAGAATCAGGAATTATTTCCAGAGTGTGGAATTGAATGTCAAAAAGCGCCCTTTCTCCACAAGCCTCTACAAAGTATCGCCCAATGAAATCACTCGAAATTATAAAATTTTATAATTTCAATATTTTTTTCTCAAGCTGTGACGCATTCACATTCTATTGTCGTAGTTCCATGCCAACAACAACAGCTGCAATCAAAAGCAATTATATATATATATTATATGGAAAGAGGCAAATAATTATCTAAGAGCGTATAAAAGCAATTCCACCAAGTGAACGTACAGCACAATGCAAAGCAAGAAAACTCAACTGACGCTAGTTAAATAAATCGTGACTGATTTCAATGCTTCATGACTTTCTCAATAACGCAAATAATTAAATAAAAGACTATAAAAAAAATTTCAAACTGAAATAGTTAAAAGTGAAATGGACAGCTCACTGCGATTTGCTTTTGTTTTTGTTTTCAAAGCGCAAATTGTTTCTAACTTTTATAAAGCAATCGCCTAAAAATCAAAAAAAAAAACAAAAACTCCAACACAGGCAAGGGTCAGTCTTAAGTTTGTTGCTGTCCAAACTAATTTGTGGTTACGAGCGCGCTGCACTTTGGCTTTGCATTATCCTGGACAAGTTGTTTTCTCTTTTGCTTGTATTCCAAACAGACTGCAGCTATTATTGTTATTCTTGTTGTTGTTGTGCTGCAATTACGCCATCACAATTACCTGCAGAGAAGTACAAGGTTCGTTTGGAAAACGTTCGGAGCGAATTTATATGTGCAAAAGCAAATACAATTTGAGCAAACTGAAATAGCGAAAAGTCAGCAACGTCTGACAACTTTAACGCACACACCCACAGCTAGACGTTTACTTAGTCAGTGAGACAGTCGCCCACACGAACATTCGTATTTTCTCTTATATTTTCTTTATTTTTTATTTTTTTGTGCCATTAATAAAGCCAGGTGAACGAGTGGCTAGCTAAACAACCGCTTATGCTATGGCGAAGAGCGTGTGATCTCCTGTGTGTTGTGATTTCCCATTTCGCTTTGCACTTTACCTGACGCTGATACAACAGAGAACTGTGTGCATAGCTATGTTTGTGTGTGCCCTTACAATTAAGCCAAGTTATTTTATTGCAGCTTTGGCTCTGCTGCAAATTAATTGAAAAATCATTAAACGCTCTTAGAAAATGCCAGCTGCTGGTTAAAATATTTGTTTTAATTATTGTGTATAGAAAGTTTTGAACTCTCCGCTGACTGCCATTTGGAGTTTTCCGCGCATGTGCGAAACGAGTTTGTCGATTTGAGCTTAAGCTTTAGTTTTTATAATTAAAGCGTGAGTGTTTACTACACTTTAGTGAAGTTTTACTGAGAAATCACGAAGTTTTATGAGAAATCAATGAGAATAATAAATGTTAACAGCTTTAAATTATATTATATTACAATATTAGCTGGGTTAAGAAAGCTTCCGAGTCACTGCCTAAGACTGCATTGATTTCATATATACTGAACTGTATTTATGTACGTCTAATATTTTGTATTTGACTTTTTGCTTTGCATGTATTTTTGCCTTAAACTTAATTTCCCATGCAAACATTTTCTCGCTTTTCCCAGCCTATTTCAAGCGTAATGTGCAGAGACATTAGACTTAAGCGCCAAACTCGCCGTCATTACACTAAACATTATCGCCGACTTTGTCATCGATTTGATGTCAAACGAGCGCGACCGTGAAATGACTGTCATATTTAAACGTAAAATTGCCACTTAAAAGTGGCGGCGTAATGGTCACTTGGCGCGATAAGAGAGCACACATGCAACGCACACAGCGACAAGCGGCGAACAGCAACACAGTGCAGTTATACGAGCAATAGCTGTGATTTTACCGCTAACTAAACTGTCTGTGACCAGAAAGCCGTCAGCCGCTAACCGCTCTCTTTCTCCTATATATACGCACGCATACGTGGTGCTTTGCGTTGCAACGGTAGTTGGTCTTGTGTAGAAAACTCTTGCCACAGTATCTCATTAGCTAATAAAAGACAAACAAAGTAAATGCTAAGCGTGTAATAAACTACACAGCCACATTTACACTCCCAAGTGCTTTGGTTTGAATTAATGGGTTATTTCTGCATCGTATAACTGTAAATGAGCGTTGCTTTTACCAGCGGTTACAAAATACAGTTTGAAAGCAAATGAAACAGAATTGTTTTGACGTTTTAATTCTCCAACAATGACATTGCAATTCAACCATATTTATTTGTATCATTTTCTTTTTTGTTTTCAAACTAAAGCCGCAGTCTAAAAAGTGAATATAAAATTCGATTCTACAATGATTTCCATATAGTTAAAACTTTTATAAATAGCATTTGCTTTAATTTTTTGACTAAATTCGTAAACTAATTTGGACATTTCTATATGAATTTTGATTTCTCACTTCTTCTCAGCTTGTTTCTAAAATATGAAATGGCGTTTTTAAAATAAAAATAAAAATGCTAGAAACAACCAACAACCAAATATCCCAGTGCGCGGCGTACTAATTTGTTTGGCTTCTTTTAGAGAATAAATTAGATATGGCAATCGAAAACAGTTTGCTTTGGCATGCAGATCATTAATCATTTGAAAGCGAGGCAATCGGACAACTGTACAGCACGCACACAGCTGGAGTTGTGGCTTAGTGCTTACAAAACGCGTAACAACATACACACACCTGCATACTTATTCCAGCATTCTGCAGCTTAGAACGGCGCATTTGATGAGCCACTAGAGTGAACCAACCAAAATGGCCAGGCAAAGTGTATGACCAAAGCGGCTAAAATGGGCAGCTGGGCTTATAAGGTTAAACGCTTATTAGATCAGACCATTTAGGTGGTGCATAAAGCGGCAGCACGTCCCTGTACTCTAACGGTTAAATGCTAGAAAGTACGTTTCGTAATAGAAATGGCATGAAAATGGTGTGCTTTTGAAGAAAGTTGTGGCGAACTTTGGAATTGAATATGTTTGTGTGTGTGTGTGTATAGGTATATGTGCGAACACGTACTTTATCTCAGAGATAAATATCTAAAGTATACATTTCTATACGTGTTTATGTTTCTTATCTTATTTCATTTTTTCCCACTTGACTCATTTAATTTGCTTTTAAGTCAACTTTGCAACGGTATTTTTCATTTGCAATATTATACGTATTTCGTACGTATTTTCTTCTCTTTTGACGCGTTGACTTTCATTCAAATTGCTTTGCAATTATCAGTAACACATATTTGCTTTTAAATTGCACTTGGCATTTGGTGGAGATAAGAGAAATAGGTAGAAACACGCTGAAAACGGTGCACATAATTAAAACTGTATTTTAATGACATATTTGACAGATTGCAAAATTGTCAGAATTGTCAGAATTGTTTTAAAAGATTGGCGATGTGATTGTGGCAACGCAAATGCCAGCAAAATGCTTACAGTGTACTAGAAAATTAGCGCTCCGCAGTAAAATGAAAATTTAAATTTCACTTTGTATAATCAGTTCGCTTTTTATCCGCTCCACCAACTGGACTATCACTTTTGTCTGTTTCTCCATACATTTGTCTAGTGCTCACCAACACAAGCGCAAATATTGTATATTAAAGTGTGTTTTTTGCTTTTGTGCGACTTTTCCTCCTCATTTATTATTTGCATTGCATGCGATTTAAATGAGAAAAATCTAAAATTACATTAAATTACCGGATGTAATTGTGGTGGTCGTGTCAGTCGAATGTGAACTAAGCAAACCAAAGTGACCAACACAAACAGTGTATGTATGTGTCTAGTGTTATTTTTTCATTTACTTTTTGCTTTATTATTTCTATGTTGTTGTAATGGTTTTTTTACTGCCAGCTACCTGTTGTTGGCCTGTTGCTGTGCTGTGACGGATGCTTGATGAATCATTTTAGAAACCAGTTTATTTGTGCGCACCACCGGCGGTGAGTGGTGCGGCGTAGAGGCAAGGCGATATATATTTACCTATATAGATATGTATAATATCTGTATACCATATATCTATGTGTGTCTACGTAAAATGTACATTTACTTGTCGTTGTACAGATAAGAGTGTGGAAAATATTACAAAAATAAATATGCACACTGTTTACTTAACAGAAATATTAATTTTTTTTCATACATATGAACATGGCCTTTTTACCGAAAGTGCTGTATTTTGTATCGGGTTACTATTTAGGAATCTCTCTACCAATTATAACTCGCTCTGTCGGCATACTAAAGTTTTTATTCCAGAAAACATCATTAAGAGAAAAAGTACTACTACAAAAATGAGGAAATACGTATTTTGTATTTTGCTTAGCTTAAATGTTTACTTTTACGTTTTTATCCATATATATTATATATTTTAGAAAAATTAATGCATGTCAACATTTCAAAAAAACTACTTAACGAAAAATCTCATAAAGACAAAGAGCTTTCACCAAGCCAGACAAAAAACAAATGTCGACATATTGTTAACAAAAACTTGGTAGAGTATTAGTAAAAAATTCAAAAATTACAAAATAAACACACACATTGTAAGAACAAGAGTTGTAGTGGTGTATCACCGATCCAAATATTACCAGAAATACAGCTAATAAGCTAGAGAATAAGTAGGTATATTTGTATATTTTTATGTATATATTTTTACCTTTGCTATTTACCAATGGTTATTTATTCGTTTGAATGTTTTTGATTTATTGCTCTGTTGCCACTTTCTCTTTTATTCTCACTCATCGCTGACGGCAAATTACGATTAATTATTTTGACTTCATTTGTGGCGCAAATTATTGGTTTAAAAAATGTTTTAATGAAACCGCATTTACAATTAATAAGAATTTATTTAATGGTGTTCGGAGACGAACTTGGATTTCATGCAAAGAAGAAAAGAGTATTTCGCTCAGTTTGTTTTCTACAGCTCTTCTGCTCTTTTTTGTGGTTGTAACTTTTTGCTCACCACGCCACTACCGTTACCACCAGCGTCAAATAATCGTCCACAATAAGCATTCAAGCACGGCTTTGTTCAAAAATTTATCTCACAACTATGATTTGACTCGACATATTTCTTTTGTGAAATTGCCTTCAGCTCTTTCTAACTGTAGCTGTTAACGCTAAAGCTTTTCTCCTCATTTCATTATGAACTTTATGTAGTATTTTTCCACCCGCGGTCGCTTTGCTTTTATATTTTTTATAATCAAGGATTGATTATGGGCAATTAGAAGAGTTATGTGAAGAAGATTCGTTGAAAGCCAAATTAGTGTGCATTAATTGAAATTGTTTTTTAAGCAAGATTAATTAATGCGAATTCTATAAATCAAAGAAATTAAGAACAATTAGAATTAATTGTTCAATCAATGGTACTCAAACAAATCTCCGGCAAATATTATTTCACTAATTTCTACTTAGAGTTTTGTCAGGTAAATATATATGCTTTGCAGCTTTATAAAAAGACAGCTTGTATTTTTGAGCCCAACCATTATAAAAGCATCACTTGCAAACTGGTTGATCTGCCACATCCGCTACCACAACGTAGGCCACACTGAAGACCGGAAGTGACCGTAGTGCGCATTGACATTAATCGAACTGTATTCTCCACAAGCTACCATACAGTGACACATGCTGACAAACATATAAACTTACACACTTCTGCTGTTTACTGCAATATACCGACTACTCCTTTCGCTGCAGCTAATCACTCTGGTTGTCGTGTGTCGATTCTTACCACATGATAGACTAGACTCCAGCAACTTGAAGACTGCAGCAGCACGAGCAATGGTCCGCAGTAATGAGCGGAGCTCTGATTCAACAGCAGCTGCCTCAAAATGGCCGATGGCGCTTACTGCCAGGAATACCATCCGTCAGTTGTCGCTAATCACTTGCGGCTGCCTGCAACACAAGAAGGAATAGAAGAAGAAGAATTGTTAGACACACATGTATAAAGCAGTAGCAATAATGCTGGCATTGTAAGTTAGTAAAGAATTTAGTTTAAGAATTTACACAGAGGAAACAATATTTACTACTTTCATCTTGCTGCAGAAGAGACACATACGAGTAAATCCAAGCAATCGCTAATACGTCTGCAGCAATTTACTGCCACACGCTAACAATTTACAGTTGCGATTGGCGGCTGCTGCCAATGCACTGGCAATGGCTTGGGTGGCAATGCAAAGACACCACCACCTAGCAGCGGACCAACTTGCAAAAGAATCTTTCGCTCTTAATGAGGCCGTTGACAGAAGAAATAAAGAACGTGCTTGGTTCAAGCGAGAGTCATAAACCAAATCTTTAACAATTTTCCAAGACTTTTCTAATGAATGAAGCCAATTTGATTCCGCCAAGGTCTAATAAATTCCTACTAGCGTTAAAAGGAATTGCAGAACTTTCCAACAAATTAATTCAAGATAGTTGATTATTAATATGGTAGAGTTCATATCGAAATTATTATTATTCCCTTCTCAAATTGATTTTTTTTTAAATTGCAGCAGGTAATTGAAAACTGTTACTAAATTAACGTTTTGCCCTTCACAAACTACAAACTAGAGTGCAACCAATACAAGGCGGTAATACAACATTTAATTACACAAAAGCTCGAATGCATCAGCTTATATATTTCTTGAGCCCATAGACTGCACGAAAAAGTCTTTAGGAGTGAAATTAATAGCACACTTTGCCACCAATTAACGGGAGAAAAGAAAATACGCCACCTATCTAATGTGCAACGAGCACTCGAAAGAGGCCAAACGATTAATTTGACAATTTATCGCCGCGATTTAAAAAAGGTGCTGCTGTTGCAGAAAAGAGGGAAACGAGTCATGCGGCGTGGCACCAATAACGAATGTTCTAATAAATCTTTTTAAATGTACACGCCTCTGCAGTTTTGTGGGCAAGCAAAGTCATGTAGCGTCATTAATTTAACAAACAGCGGCCGCAACGGAGTGAACAAACGAATGTGACAAGGAGTAGCCGCATCCAGGCCGCTGGACAGGCAAGCAGGCAGTTAGGCAGCAGCTGATTAAAACATCAGGAAGTCTCAAATGGTAGCAGGCGTGAATATGCATGCATATTATACGAGTGTTTATGCAGGAGCTACTCGTAGCACTTTGCACGCATGCTCTTTGCTGCGTATCGATGTTGCACCTGTCACCCAGTCGCCGGGGTTTCCGATGCGACTCAGTTGTACGGACAACGACGCACAATCTAATCGACCTGTGCTTTTTGGCATGCGCTTCGACGACACATTAAACGAGTCAACAAAACGATTACACGCATTCGCGGAGACGACAGTTTATATCAACTTATGCTCTATGAACACCTGAAGGAGATTGTCAGCGGCACTCGTTTTGTGTTTTGTGTGGTCAAGCTACAGTTGTTGTGAGTAGTTATTCACTCTCTACTTTTCAGTTGCTTATTGTTTATTCTGTTTAGTATTCATTTGTGTTCTACCATGATCAAATTCAACTTGATATTGTCGCAACGGATGCTAAAGTTTGGACAATAGTTTTTTGGCATCTGTCCAGTCATATAAAGAATGCTTCAATGAGTAGAGATTTAAAAGTTTTGACCAAAAAATATAGCACTTCGTTAATATTAACTGTAAGAAATCACCTTTGATACGATTACAACATACGATTTTCCACACTCAATACTATATTCCCTGATTTAACGTCCCAAGGAAATCCGAATCAGATTAGAAATTTGTCGGCCTTACTGTAGCAACTGGTTTAGCAGCCAATAAGTATTGTGGAAGCTACGCGCATAAAGAAATTTATCTGTATGACACGGCTCCAATTGCAAGCACGAACACGGCCAAGTCACTTGCTTGCCACTGTGCCGAGATAATAAATGCGTTTTGTTGCGACTTTTATGCGACACTTGCCACATACTTAGGATGTCCATCGTGGCTAGAGCATATGCAAAAATGTGTGCGTTTGCGCTCCGAAGCATTCCGTACCACATGTTGCTATTCAAGTTATTGCTGTTGATTGTGATATCTGGTGGGTATTTATGTGGTGATTAGCAATTAAATCTGAATTGAGTATTATTTACGCATTAATCGTTATTAGCTATTGCATTGCCTCGCCGCGCATGCGCCTATCATGTTTTCATGTCTGTATTTAAATTGAGTTGGTCGGTGGGCTACTCTGACAACAACAGGTTTGCAACAGCAGCACATTTGCGCATATGTTGGCGAATCTTGGCGGTCGCACTGTCAACACACGATGATGAATTGCTTTGGAGTCGCATTGGTCAGATGTTGCGACCGGCGCATTGCGACTTCGATACGATTTGGCAGTTGACTGCCGCTGACAATGACTTTAATGGTAACAATTGCTGCTCCTTGCGCGCTTCGTAGCAGCGTGCGTCGTAAGTGGCACAGTGAGTGACGACGAGCGCATATTTTGTCATTGCTACTGTTACAATACTTTTCGTTGTTCGCGGTATACAGTTAGCTGGCGGCATGGTCGACAAGGTGAAATGAGTGAGTGATTGCAGCCACGCGCTGCCATCACAACTTCGGGGAATTCGTTGAATTTGCGCACATATAACAGTGTATTTCAATATAGTAACATATACAGTAATATTTGTGCAAACAGCTCTCCGGAGAGTAAGGAAAATAGTGTCTTTAATAAATTAATTGCATGTATAATGCTTTGTAAATACCATCCAATCGTATTAGAGGTGCAGGGACAAGCTTCACATTTTGAAGAACTGAATATGCAAGGCGAAAGCGTAGCCATTAATATATTCATTAGTTACTTCATTCCCGATTATTGTTCAAAAGATCAGCTCTATTATTTTGACCCGCGCTTATTTTTTTTTAATTTTAAAGAGTAATTAATTTTTCCCGTTTTGGTTGAAGAGCGGCAACATTGCAATGTATGAATACGTAGTTATATACAGCACTCATCCCACTTACAAATTTGGATTATTTGGCAGCACCTACACAAAAGTACTTTTGTAGCTATAATAGTAAACATGGTATTTACCCACTCAGCACTCCAACGAAAATTACAAGCAAACACTTCAGAGTCTGTTGAACTGTCAACCGAGCCAATCGCCCAACTCAGCATTTCCATAATTTACGACATTATTCTTATTTTATGTATTTTGTCATACTCTGACTCATTGCAGTCAAAAAATCTTGAGCAAATACTTTTTATATTTACATACATATACCATAATATGTATGGTAAGAGAATTTACTCTTTTAATATTTTAAGAGCGAAAATTGAAATTGATTACCATTGCATTACTATTTACTACATACATTACTTTCCTTCATTATGCTTCATTACAAGTGCAGCGACAACCAGGTGTTCATTCTCATTACTACACACACACACAGTGTGTCAGTGGAATTCAGACAGAAATGCAGTAAATCTGTCGATGCGACACACATGCTTTTGATGGATCGACATTACATAACTAACGTCAAATAGCTTGTCAGTTCGACAGGCAAGCAGCCAACTAGTGCATAGTATCAGATTTCAATTATTGCCAGACGGCAGTAAGCTAGACACTTACTTATATACTTACATATGTGTATAGGAAAAAAGGTAGATAATTTCACACAATTGGAAATATGAGTGCATATCAGAAAATATGAAGTTAAATAAGTGCAAATAAATACATATATTCGGTTTGATTTAATTTAAATCATTTTTAATTTAAATAATTCTCATTATTTTTAATGCCTAAATATTACAGCTACTTTTAATACTTGTATGCACTTTCATTATTTTACAAATTTCTACAAAGCACTGAAGTGAGTAAGTAACAGCTAATTTCTTGAAAACGAAGTCAGATTTTTTTTTTTTTGAAATATTTGAATTTTATTGCGGTTAATTTTCCTTAGCGCCATATCGCTTCGCTTTTCACAGACTCAGCTCATTTTCATGCGTATCTAAAGACACTTGCTGCTGCGCTGGACCCATTGTTGCAGAGCGCAGGCCGAGCTCTTTATACATGCATATACATTTCGGCAGATAAAGTTGCAATTGAAGACGCATTTGTTGCATTAGTGTCTACAACCTGCTATTGTCTGCGACTTTGTTTTCGTTGTGATTTCGCAGTAAATTGATACGTAACTGTCTCGTGTGGTGTTTTTGTTTTTACTACCACATAATAGTCTGCTGTTGGCATGTAAATGTTATACTTGAGAAGTCTTCAAGTTCAGTTCACACGCTTTCACTAATGTGCAGTCGGGCCGATTCCACGCCCGATAAGCATATGAGTTGTTACCAAATAAAAAATTGTGAGTCGCATGCCGCAGATACTGAAACTTTTTCTGAAAGCCCTGCACAAACTCAAGATTTGAGCGAAATAAACTTCCAAGATGCTTTGGCACTTCTAGCCTTAATAAGAATAATTTTTGTAAGCACATTGCTGAAGCACAATGCCTCGGTTGCAGTTGTAAGCGTTATATCATTTACCAGCAACATTGGCACGTGATTAATGACACCGAAAATCCTGTAAATCCATGTGATATATTTCAAATAAATAATATCGATTAGTTCGTGCAAACGCTTTGACTGCGTGTATCGTAAACATGCTCATACTTCGGTATATTTGGTTATTTGGAACGCAATTTGTACCGCATGTCGGCGGTAGTCAGTCAACTCGTGCATGTGATTAATTTGTATGCCTAATTTTCTATGCGGCGCGTTTTTTATCAGTTCGACAAAATCTGGGACACACAAATCACATAAACACATCAGCACTCGGCGGACAGCTTGTCAGCGCCGCGCTGTTTGTTTCAACTCGCGAGAGTCGCACGAATTGTCACTGCTCGGCGGAAAATTTGCATAGAGCTATGGGTATTTTCACGACCTCTCTGAACAGCTGATGGTTTATCTAGGTACATAACTATTGCTTCGGGTATTTTTTTCGCTGGTGAAATCAATTTGATCTCCAAAATCATTAAAATCGAATGTTCGAATGCTAATATAACAAATAACATGAAATAGCAGTGTGTATGGGAAATGCAAATTTGACTCGAATAAAATGACTCACCAATGGTGGACTGCAGGCATCGGTGGCTTTTTGTTTATTTCTCATACGTGAGAGCTGAAAAAAGAATAAGATGCATTGGCATTAGTTAAATATACGATAAATATGTGAATAATGAATAAATTGAAGGTTGTGAGGTTGGCAAAGAGAGTTGTACCGTTAATTAAAAATTTAGTTTTTTGTTTGTTTTTTGTGCATAAATCTAACTAGCTTTTTTTCGAGTTATACCGCAGTTTGAATATATTTTATAAGCTGCAGCAAATTTTTTTTTTTTTTTATTATTTATTTGTGTTTATCTTATTGCCATTCAAAAGCTTAAGACAATCAAATAATGGATGTCAGGGCAGCTCTATAACCGGAATGCCAACCAATTTGTATACAAGTAGATCAATGAAAATGCAAACTCCAATCATTTTTGCATATTGGGTTATTTTTAAGAGGCATGCTTTAATTTCGAAAATAGAGACTCTCTCAAGCTATTTTTTATTAAATTAATTATTTTTCTAATGAACATTTTATGCTGGCTTCGCAAAGAGACCAGCAATCACTGCTAAACCAAACTGCCAGCAATATACAACAAATCTGGCTCTCCCTAAAAGCCAAATTCATACGCGACACTACGCTGAATGCAGAAACTTTCATAGAAGTATTTGCAACTGATGAAGCTAGAATTCCCTCGAGACGCATACATGCGCGCCTATGACTAGCTACGCAAAAGTTTCTGCAACATATTAATGTAAAATTAACACACTCATACACTCACACAAATTCGTGTAGCTTTGTGTGCGTGCGTGCGTTTTTTTTTATATCAAAGGCGAACATTTGCGCTGCGCGACGTGTTGGCTACGTGGCGCTGCTATCATTATCCTTCATTATTATTTATTATCTTGTATTCGCTTGTTATTGCAGCTACCAACAACAAATGCAGCAACAATACAACAGCGGTGCTACGTAACGAAAGGCGAGCCGATTATGCCCCGTCCGAACGGCTGCCCATCGGCACTTGGCTTTGCTCTTAAAGCATTGCCATTTTCTGCTTTTGCTGTTGTTGCTTACAGCCCAACGGATGCTGCAGCTGTTCAGCATCTGTGCCGTGTTGGTGCTGTTCACTATTGTCATTACACGCTTAAGCCGTGTTGTAACAGCCACTAATATGAAATTATCTTTTAGCAAACAGGTTCTCACCTGAAATTTAATAATTGTGCCAAGTCTTGTTGTCAAGGTATGTTGGCCAAGTACACATTGCACTTCCTTCTTCAGCTGCAGTGCGCGGTTGTGGTTTTCGATTTTTGGCGTTTTGCCGTTTTGGCGTTTTCGCTCAAGCGCACCCTTTTGCGTTGCCTTTTTCAGCAAATTATGGCATTTTAAGCGTTTTCAGTTGCATTCCACCAACTACTTAATTCCGACTTTTTCCCCACTTTCGTACACATGTATTGACATGCACACACACACTTCTAAATACATATATATATGTATGCCATTTTGCAGATCTTTTTACGTCAATTTGCTTATTTGTTGTTGCTGCTACTCTGATCGGTGTATTAAAATGCGCGTTCATCACAGAAGTGCAGCGGATGCAATTGCCATATTTGTCAGATTGTTTACATTCCTGCAATATTTCAACATCCACTTTGCCATGCCGGCCGAGCAGTGTTGTCTGTTTTGGCTTCGCTGACACGGAAGACACGAGTGCGAGCCCTTTGTCGTGTATTCAATGGGCTTTTGATGCATGTCACCGCGGTGAGAAGCCGAGTTAGTGACTGCTGATGATATTATTACAAGAAATTAAGATTTTCTCACTGATATCTGTTTACAGGTGAAATATTGATAACTTTGCTGTTTTTATACAACTTTTTGACTTTCTTCCTTCTCTTAATGACACTGCCTGAGTCCACTTAGAACTTTACACTACTAAGCTTAAGTGTGTTTACTAAGCGCAAACACTTGAAGCACGCATCACACACATACATGCATACACGTACACTTATGAATTATTATCATTGCTTTTATTTCTCACTAATGTACGTTTATTAATTTTTGTTGTTGCTTCAGCACTTTCAACTTTATTTAATGCCTTTTACTTTGACTAATTGCTTCAGTTAAACTGTCGACTCGGGTTTTAGTGCTCACACAAAGCTGTACTTAAGCACCGAGTCAGCCTATTACAGGGCGAAAACAAAATATGCATTATTCGTATGTGTACATACATATAATGTAATGGCGGGTAACAAAAACAGCGCTGCGAACACAAAGGGCATTAGCAAAAAAGCGGCGACAGTGACGGCGGCGACAGAACAACTCGACAGACTAGATCGTAGAAGTTAGGGGACTGCAACTTTTACTTTGGCAAGCAGTGAGTGACGGCTGGAGACGACTGCCTTTGTTGTTGTGCGCACAGGCAAACGTTAAATAAAGAAGCGCCAACGTCAACACTTTTATGATAGCTTCAAGTCACAGCGGTGACCACGATAATGGCGACAACAACAAAACGGACATAGAGCGACATCATAATCGGAAGGCCAGCTAAGTTGCCATTACTTACAGTATCTGCGAAAGGGCATATGTGTATGTATAGAGCTAGCGCAAGTACATCAAAGTCGTACTCAGTTAGCCGACTTGGCTTTTCTTTACAGCACTATATGTATTTGTTGTAATAGCGCGTATAGTACCAAGTACGAACAGATATATGTTGGTTTGTCAGTCGTGATCTGCACAGCTAAAGGGTTATATCAGCAGTCAGCAAACTTTTTACACTCATTTAAGCCGAGCTTGAGCGCATGTGCTCATGTTCATTACATGTTACAGCTACTTTTTGCCTGCACTTCACTCATCTCTGCTTTTCTGATTTCTTAGCTCAGTTCTTTGGTTGATGAAGATGAGTTGCTAGTATTGCTGAAAACTAAGTTGATTGGCGACGGCAAATAAGCCGACTTGAGTTGTCGACCCAAGTTAATCTGATTTTGAGATTTCAATTTGTTGAAGTCTCGCAAAAACTGTTCAACAATAACCAATAGAGTTAATACTCGTATGTATGTATATGTGTTGGCACTGTTGTAAAAATAAGTAGTTCGTTAGCAGCGACAGTAGCGCTTATGTAGTTCCAGATTTGAAGCTCAAAAGTGGGTTGATTCCTACCTTATATTTATTTTGTATTGAATTGTTCTGCTCATTGTTTGTAGGCATTTTCAGCGCATAGGTAGAACAGTTCGTGACTTTGTCAAAAGTAAATCGTGCGCATCTGCCCAAAACTGAACGAAACACTGACAGCATTAATATAAACGTGTCAGCGATTTTTTGCGCTCGTAGGCAGTCAGTTGCTTTACAGATATGAGAACGCGTATATATGTATGTGTACAATTGATATGGATCGTGCGATGCTGTATAAGTATTAATATAAGTATGTATGTAGTTCATGCAGTGCGCTGCTACACATGTAATTACTTAAACTCAGTTATTATTCGTTGGAAAATTATGTGCGCTTTGTTAGAGCTCTCCTATAAAATTGCTATAATTTTTTCATTTAATCACAACTATTTCACAACAGATCAGATTAATTTTGGTTTCAGACTAGAAAACGTTTTAAAAACTTACACCGAATCTTAGAATGCGAATGAAGTCAGTTTATGAAAGTGTACGAGTATGACGCAAAAGTCGTTTACCAAAGGTCAAAGTTTCGAGAAAAAAACAGTGCAATTAAATTTAATAACATTTTACTACAAACAACTGGTTTTTGTGACCAAAGCATATTTATAAAAGCATACATAACAACTTTTGAGTAGTTTATTTGTGGAGTAAAATTTTATGAAGAATATCTAGCAAAACAGAACTCACACTTACGGTTATATCAACCGATTTAAACAATTAACAAAAATACTGCCATTTATGTTGCTTTAATAGCGACTTTTTTCATTGTGAAATATTGAATAATTTATAAAATATATTTCATGAAATGAGCATATTTCATATTTCATCGCCCTTAATTAACCAAACACATCGCCATGGAGTATACTTTAAAGGAACAGCTGATTTAAAAGGCAGCGAGATCAATTGACTGGTATTAATTAAGTGGGGACTACTGTGTGCGGCGAAGAAGGTAAAGTGAAATGCCACAAACAACATGAAAACAAGGCACACCCACGAATAAAATCGCAGCAACGAATTTTCGAACAATCGTTTCAAGCAGCAAACAGTGTGCTGTTAAGCTTCAAGCACTCAGCTAGCCTTTACTAATACCAATTGCTGTGGCTCAGAAAAATCCTTACCGCTTCATAGCCAAAAACTGGTATGCCACAGTGCACACACATATATAAATAGGCGCTTGCAGAAATATTTTTATGTGGGCGGCAAAATATTTTTCGTGTACTTTTCTTACTTTTGCTGCCAATAATCTTGTTTATGCCGCTTTTCTTAGCCCCTTTTGGCGACGTGCCTCCTTTTAAGGCGCGCGGCAAGCGCAAATGCCACGCCAAAGCGCTCGATGCCAACACAAGAAAAGCAAATATAACTCCACTACCCGCATGTGGACCGTGCTTATATTTATATGTATACAAATGTATTTACTCATATGCATGGACAACAAGTCGTGGCAAAGTTCTCAACTTGAGGCATATTTTGAAATTCGTTATAGGAGAAATAATATTTTATTTGTAACTTTATAACAGTACACATAATATGGATCCGTATTCATCCATGGTACAATTAAAATTAACGCTTATAGAAAATGTTATCTGCTGGGAAAGAAACTCGAAACGGAAAAAAATCTTCCAACTCGACATCGCAAAGCTACTGTCGTCGCCGACACCGAGCAAGCCATCTTTGAAGACAGCACACACAAATAAGGACTACCCATTGCAGCCGTTGACACGATACGACACAATATTTACTTAAACGTTCACATACTCGTAAATAATTGTCAGCGCTTATTTGTATAGTTATGCGGGAATATCTTTTTAATAAGCTCTTTTATAGCGATTAACGCCGAGCCATTGACAGCCTAAATACAGAGTGGAGCAAAATTTCGTTATTAACCCAGAAAAGGTTCAGCACATTTCGATATG